CAGTCCCACAATCCTGGCAAATTGTCGTTCTGAGAAAAAAGGACTCAAAAGGACGGCTATACACAAGCCACGTCGTCCTTTCAATTTCGACTTGAAAACATATCCACCGCGCACGATCCTGCGAGAAGTCTCGCCAATTAGTTCCTTGATTTTAAGAGCTAAACCGTGATTGGCTAAAAAGGTTTTATGTCACGGAAATCGTTTTGCCGCTCGGGTTCGCAGACGCTATTTTTCGGAGGGAGAGAAGCGACGACCGGAAATGCGTCTGCGCTTCGCAGGCTAGTGCCAGGTCAACATAGAGGCCAGATGTGTCCAGCATTCTCGCATCATGCATTCGTCCCTCTGAACAAGAGCCAAAAAAATTAATTTTGAACCAGAGTCAGTCACACATTGGCTGGCTGACAAACTGTTACCTATATAGACCATTGCTTACCTTAGTAATTGGGTATGCAAAAAACAACGTAGGATTCGCTGGCTATTATTCTTACAGTCCAGGTACTTATGGCCTATAAGTCAGAATTTATAATTTATTTGTCTGTGGTGACAGGACAACCATTTCCTCTAATAACAATTGAAAGTGGGAGCTACTGGAAATACCTCTGATTTGAGAGACCAGGAGGGAGTCATCAAGAAACGTCAGATTAACATTATGAGAAAAGAAATCAATCTAACTTTTAAGTTCACATAAGTGATAAAAATGTCTCTCCAAGTAAAAACAGCTACGGTACTATCCCACTATAAAAAATGAATGAATATACCCTTACCTACTGGTCCAAACAGATGGCCAATCAATCCATTTGGTAGGGCCAAGGATTGAAATTTAAGGGCGTGAACGCGCTTGTGGCCATTGTAAACAGGTCTCTGATTGACTCCTGGTTTTGGTATGGGACGAACCGTTCCATCAACAAAGCCGAAACAGTTTTCTAAGGCAGCACCTTTGTCATGAATTGCTTCAGAGTAAGTTTGCAGTAGGTAAGGAGACATAATGAAATGATTCCATTCGGTAATCCTATGGCCATGAACATTGTACATCCATTCAGTGACTTCATTGCTAATAATGCTGAGCTCGGGTACTGATCGACCAAAAGTAGAAATCATATCAGACAACCTACATGGATAGCTAAAGCGCTTTAGTATAACACAAAGTCCTTCTGTTGAATCACAAACGGTACCATTCGGACATGTGAAGGTATCAGGCATCGGTAAAACATCCACCAGCAATGAGATGTCACTCTTTTCAAATCTGAAGTCTGCCTTACACTCTGCGGGGTCTTTGTTTTCGAGGGAAAATTTTTCGTAATCCCAGTGGCGAAACGGAAGGTTTTGTTGAGTGAATTCTTCATACAGTACGGCAAATTCTTCGTCATCTATTAGTTTTTCTTCCAGACTAAGGAGCAAAGCTTCCTGTAAAGTCTTAAATGAGTTTTGAGTCATTCTTGTAGGGAAAGGTGAAAAGCGTTTTACTGTTTTCCAGACGATGACTAGTCTAAATGATCGCATTCTTGATCTTAACTACATATTTCCTGCGCTTAGTACGCGGTGCTCGCCCCAGCCCCACTCTCGGTCCTCGCGTTTCCAGACCACCGCGTTGTCGGTTCTTAAAGTCGCTACTATCATCATCAGAAGACATCAATTCGACAACAAGTGAGAAATAACCAAGTCATTTATATATATTATTTCATCACCGTCTGAATCAGATGATTGTTGTCCCAGCAATCCTGTAGTTAAAAGAACAAATAATTATTGAGAGGTTCTTTGTTTTCTAAATAGTGTGTATGAATGTATGCTATACAAAAGACATACCATGGGGCACAAAATTTTTGCGGTTTCTAATTTTTGCGATTATTCCAGCGATCCGCAAAAATAAGTTCCCGCAAAACTTTACTGTGGACTAAATATTCTCTAACTTAAATTCAGTACACAAAAATACAGTACAGAAACGTGTCTGTCCAATTACGACTTGTCTCTTTCATTCAGAAATGGTATACAACGAAATACTGACGTACACTGTAGTATTCTTTCAAAAAAAATATATGCTTGTGTTACACTTCTCAATAAAAACAAAAATATTATCAATGCTGGGTATTGGGTACTTTCTGAAAATTGCAAAATTGATTCCCAGCAAGAAACACCAATAGTTCCTAATCGCGAAAATTTGTTCCTGCAAAACACAAAATATAGCCGATCTGCAAAAATAAACTCCCGCAAGAATTTCGTGCCACATGGTAGTATAAAACATAAAATTGTCGATTTGTATGACTGTTTTCTTTCTTTCAAGTTTTTAGTTTAATATGTATCTTCATGTAATAGGGTACTACACTTTTTGAATTTCATTGTCATCCACGCAACACACAAAAAGCTATCTTGGAGGGGAAATTTTTTTTCTATCTGAGACCGATAGTATTATTTGAAATATTTATAGGCTTGCTCTTGTGTAGTTCCTACTTGCTTCAGTCGCGGTGGGCAATAACTTAAGATTCCATTAATTAACAGCCACTCAGTTGGTGCTCCTGAGAGGGATACCATTTTGGCGTCTCTTAGCCAAGGTTGATAAATTTGAGGAAAACGTTTCTTCGATATTTTGGAAAAAAAAAACACACACTTAGAGCTGAATTTTGGCACAAATGTTCATACTCATTCATGTCCCCATTTCTTTTTTTCTTTTTTTGTGCGTGTGTGTTCCCGACAAAACCAAACATTAACTTCCGCATTTAATTTGGTAGAAAATGCCTATTTATTTACCAAATGGCTGATATCAACACATGCTATTTTGTTTTATACATTCAAGTGTGCAGTTCCTGAAGTGTCTGCTGGAAAGAATGATTGTATCAACTGGAAGGTGTGAAAATAACTACAGTACGATTGGCACATGATGCTGATTTAATTGCAACTCAACAAATATTATACATGTAGGCTTTGTGCAAGCAGAATGTTACAAAAACTGTTTAGAAGTCACTTAATGCTTAATTGTTCCACATGCCTCTTCAAACCAGTGAAACAATTACGTAAAAGATCGCATGTTAAAATAAAATTAAGATGGTGCATTCTGGATAAAACATTATGGTTAATGGAACAAATTGTGGTAAAAATTATTAAATTGTAGAGATGTCCGAGGTAATTACTCTCGCTAATATCCAGATTATTTTTCTGCTTTATGTCTGATTGCCTGCATAATGTGATTTAAACAATACTTTATTCAGGATGTATTACAGCGGTGATTATATTGGCGTGAACACCTAAAATATGTCTGGAATGTTTATTGTGTTGCAACCAATCACAGGTGAGATCTTCACACCACAGAAACCACAGGCAACGAACGGTTTCCGATCGGTCATGGAACAAATTATTTTCGTTTTCTTTAAGGATACAAACTGCCTTATTAGGAATTTAAAACACCGCTGTTCCCCAAGATCAGTGCCGAGGACCGCATCCAGTACATCATTTGATTTTAGAAAGAAAAGTTGTAGAAGCCAATGCGACGCGACAGCGACCAGCTTTCCATGTAACGACATATCACATGAAGACAATAAAAAATGACCAATCGTGATGTTTTCGTTTCTGATAGCATAATCCTTGCTAATATTTTTTTGTCGAACAAGGGGATTCGATTTGTGTGGACTGACGATTGAACCTTCGAACTACTGTGCTGGCAGATGTCCCTTGATCGCAAGGTCGCAAACTGGAAAGACCGCCGAACAAATTCAACATCTAAGGAATGATTGGCACATCGCGCAAAGTAAACGCGCAATTTTC